ATAGGTGAGTTACACACACACACAACTAACCACTGTCTACAGTACTCACCTTGCTACAGGTAGGGGTTACCAACCTCGGAGGTTACTGTACCCCAGGGGCTGGGAGTATATTATTTTGAAAGTTTGTGTATTTTTACTCATTAGGTCATGATTAGTGTATATAACAGATATATATTGTAATGTTATCAGTAACATAAAATCTTTATGGAATCTCTACATACAAAGGATTTCATAAATAAAATAATAGACAAATCATTACAATTTCATTAGTTTTTTCTCCTTTATTTGTAAGGTACATGGGAACTGGTCAGGAATGCCCAAAGGGAAACAGAGGAACAAAAAGATTGGGAGCTCGTACCTTCAATATATCGTAAATGAGTGTGCATTGCGTCGTAAGATGATGCGTGCAAGCAAATCCATAAACTCTGGACATCGGTACATGTCAGAAGAGACGAGAAGTGATTGTACTCGTTAAAAAGTAACTCAGAAGCTATTAATACAAATGATCCAACTCAACAGAGATGGGACTACATCCTTGGGATGTAATTGGAGACGGGAGATGCGGTAAATGTTTTGTACTCTGCCAGGACGGGGTTTTATTTGTTCCAAGGTTAGGTTTTTAAAATTTATTTGTGTTTATTAATAGTTTTATTCGTCTTATGCTCCTTTGCCAGCTCCTTGGAAAGTGATTTAGATCTTCCTTCGTAGCCTTTTACAGATAGAGGGCGACTAAAAAATCATGGAAAACGGGGGACTGCGTTACCTCTTTTCGGTATGCAGCTACTAAAAAGCAAAAAAAATATAAAACTCAATAGATTTCGCGAAGTTAGTTTGTTGAGTGAGTGTTGATATTAGTGCCAATATTAAGACAGGATTGCAAAATTGTTAATTATTATGAATAAATGAAAGTGGGATGTCCTAGTTCTGTGTGAAGAGGTTTTAGAGGTGGTGGGTGTTGGGCTTCAGGAGGAATATCTCGCCATTACCAGTGAAAAAATCCTTAGTCGGCTGCACGTCCCCACCTGACGACCAGTATATGCTTGTTTACAGATTTTCAGGACTACCAGTGGTCTTATCCAACTCCATGGGCTGGGGGACTGATTACCTCATCTTTTGTATTATATTTCTACGTCTTCACGTGTTGTCCTTGTATGATAAAGCCATGGTTGGCGAAGTGTCAACAAATAAGGATACCCAGATGTGGCACAGGTGTCTAATTCATTCTATCAGGATTATGACGGTGTGTTACGAAACGGGAATAGGCGAGACTTGAACCATTTTCCAGGCAGTTCTCTGATTATCGTGTTATTACGATTTTCGGAAGGTGTGCCTAGACAGATATTGGTTGTGGGGGTTAATGTGTTTTGGGTTGGAGTCTGTTGTGCTTGTAATATTTATAAAAGAATTTTGTAAATATCAGTTAGCTGAGCTTCTAGGTCTGAAGGTTTAATACAGCGACTGCATTCAGTCTTGTCATATGGGACACGGTATTGATTTGTGGCTCATAGCTGTGTTTTAATCTGTTCCATTTGTTAGATAATATAAATAAAAATGATAGGAAGCGAGTAATCATGATTGTGTTTTCTATCAGGGTCACATGCCCTGGCGGGATAAGAAGCCGATGTTGCTAAACACAATATGATTGAATAATAACTTTGGGTTTGCAGCTCCTGAGGAGTCAGAGGCGGTTCCAAGGTCGGAGTACATTGCGACGAAGCGAGCCTCTTACTACTTCCCGAGGTACGATTTCACCGTTAAATTGCTTTTAATGCCGCATTTGGTTTTCTTATGTGTATTTTAAGTGATAGCTTGGTATTTATTTCTCACTTATGGAAGATTGTGGTAGTCTGTGTGGTTGTGTTGTTGGTTGTATCTAAATTTAACACTGCTTCTGGTGTTTGTCGTTGAGCGGTAGTGGCTGCGTGTTAAAAGGCAGCTGTGGTGTGGGTGGTCGGTTGGTGGCGGTTGGTGGTGGTGGTGGTGGTGGTGGCGGGGTGGTGGTGGTGTAGGTGTGGTGGCGGTGGTGGTGGTGGTGGTGTGGGTGGGGGTGGTGGTGGGCGGTGGTGGTGGTGGCGGTGGTGGTGGGGTGGCGGTGGTTGGTGGTGGTGGTGGAGGGTGGTGGTGGTGGTTGGTGGGATGCGGCGGTCGGCCTTAATGTATAAGGCACAAACACGGGGCAAGAGACTGTAACCACAAATGTCTTTTAATAATATTAATAATAATCTTTGTTTTTCAAGTATATGTACAATGTATTATTTCAAAGAGGAATGTGAGAGAAAGAGAGGATGTAGGGAGTTCTAGTCAAGGATTAAGAAACAGATCCTCAGTAGCCTTCAGAAGAGACTGAGGTGCAAGCATTACGTAGTTATAAAAGGTGGGTACTCACTAGGTACTGAGAACAAAGGCAAGTTGTCAGCCTGAAGGGAAGCATGTAACTGTTCCAGGAATTTCATCATTAAGATTACGTGATAGTGGTGTATACTTATTAGTTCATGGAAGACTGTTATCCTGACCCACCCGCTCACTGACAAAGCTAACCGACTAGTTAATCCATGCTAGTTTCACGGTAGTTTTCTATGCTGATAGTGGTTGTCAGGGAAGTTGTAGCAGTCGGGGATTGGGAGGTCGTTCCATTAATGTTGGTAGTAATGTTGTGGTAATCGGGCGAGAGGCTGGTAGCGGCGATTTTGGTTGTCCCTTATGGTGGTGGTACGTGGATGGTAGCAGTTATACTTACTATGTTGCCTCCGCTACTGTCCAAGCTCTATTTTCGTTGAGAACAATAAAGGATTACCCTTATTTCAAAAGTTCGTAAAGGGATTTCTGTGTGGGCCAGTAACAGTGGGTTTTGTTGTAAGACTTTATCTTCCTTGCATCGTTGGCTGCAGACGCTTAACGATGGTGTGTCGTTGTGTCAAGCGCATCGTCACATTGACGTCACGTTACGTTCTTAATGGAGCTTCATCAATTCCTAATGGAGTAGCGGAGACGTTGGTACATATAAGTAATGCTGAAATGTTTGTGAAGTGGTAAGTGGCTGGGCTCAAATTTTCCGTATATGGTAGTAGAATCCTCTCTTCCTTTTGGGGGAGTGAACAGATGGTAGATTACAACCGTCTAGGAGAGTGCCAGTGAGTCCCATCTTCGATTCTGATTAACATATGCTGTAATGGTAAAGATCTTGAGTCATTAAAGGTAACAAAAAATGTGAGGATTATAGGCATTGTCTCATCCATGAGGGGAAATCCATCCTTAATGATAATATAATGATTATTATCTTTATTTCTACAAGTACATGTGCATGGTATACAGGCGTTGTCTTAGCTGACATCATGATATACACTATGATAGAAAAGCCGTTGGTTGCAGAGGCATTTTCGGAGCAATTAGAGTCAGTTCTGTCACCGGTGCGACCCACACCAGTCGACTAACACCCAGGTACCCTTTTTACGATGTAGTGACAATGAACAACCGTGTAAGGAAACACACAAAATGTTTCTACCCGTGCGGGATTCGAACCCAGAGCCTCGTGTGTGTATAGCGAGAGCTTTGCCTACCGGGCCTCTGGCCACCTGGCCGGTGCTATGCTAGCAGTTGGCTGAAAGTCGGCGGTCCAGGGTGTAGATCTCCACTGGTAGGTTGGGGATTTTGGAAACGACTTACCCATTTCCGCCTCAATCTGCTAGGATTCCTGGTGGCTCTGGCCATGTTAATCCGTGATGAATTTTACAAGAGAGTAAGAGTGAATAGGTTCCCATATATATATGGGCACAGTGCACGCCGGCAAAGTATTGTCTATCGAAGTTCTGACACAAAAAAAATACCAAGTGACCGAAACGAAGGTGGAAGTCTCAACAACAGAGATAATTGGTCTATTTTTTACCTCTGGTTGTGCATTTAAGTTTATTATAATCACGAGGCAGTTGTCAAAGTTACCCCACAACAAGGAGAGAGGTTAGGTGTCATCTGTATCCGAGGATCGTGTGATACTAACATTACTTTTTCATGCTGATAGGACTTTTCCTATGTAATATAAGATGTGGGGGGAAGCGCCATTAGTGTTACTGATAGGATCTGTTGACTGGTGAATTTTGTTCTGTTGTGTTGGCAAGTCCGTATGATATTTTTTTTTTTTATTTTTTTGGCCTTTAAGTATATCTCCTGGTCCTGTTGTCCTCATTAAGCACTCAAAGACTTTCCAGACAGCGAATGCAACAATCGTCACCAACATTTTTATGAGGTTAAAATACCCAGCTCAACTTTATTTATGAATACAAATGAAATGCACAACTACTCAGTAAACCAAGGAAACTCTGAATTAAACATACAGGACTATTCTTA